CTTTATATAACTCTTTTCTTTTTTGCTTGAGCTGTCACGATCCAAATTCCATATTTGATTATGATGGCGTTCAACATCGCCGCTAGACAAACCAACACTAATCAACTAGTGAATTCTCGTTTATATAATTAGAAAGTGATAGCTTCTCCTTATTTGATAAAAATTTAGGAGTTTAAAATTTAAACATGAATAAATGGAAGCAATAAATATGAATTGTAATCATGTAAGTAAACCAAAATCATAAGTCTATTAGTATGTGTGCCAAGACCTCGTATCACAAGTATGTGGGCTATCTAGTAGAATATACAAAATCATACTATCTAAAAAAAAAATAGACAGGAAAATAAAGACATAAGAGAGACTCCAGCTGCTGCAGAACGGCTCGAAAGGGCACCTCACAGGGAAGTCTGAAGCTGGGGAATCAAGTCTATGCGCCGGACTGATGGCCAGATGCACATGCCTCAGATCCTATACAATCAAGTATAGAAGTGTAGCGTGAGTACATAAAATATGTACCCGGTAAGTATCTCGTCTAACCTCGAAGAAGTAGTGATGAGGGGTCGATTCCGACACTTACTAGGGCAAATAATATAGTAATATGAAGTTCAAATTATAAATAATAATATATGTAGATAACAACAAGCTCAAAACAAGAATAATAACTGGAAAATACTTCGTTCGTATTTAAGAAATCAAAGCACTTCCCTCATTTAAAACAAATGACCTTTCAAGCAACAAACCATACAAACTATAAAGAGTTCCAGTTCTATTATCACACATAAATACCATCGAAGATGTTCGGCCTGATCCGACATAAAAGTAAATTGTGCACTACCGAGGGTCGAACGACGCGAATCATAGATGCATCTATTAACCTACCGAGGCGAATGTCCCTCTACCATGAGAGTAGTGCAAATAGTTACCCCGCTTGAGGAATATACTTGCGACGCGTTTAAATATAAATGCAATGTAATGTCCTCAATTGTTTTCAAAATAATAATTTATTTGAAACCTTTGAAATCATGAAATCCTCAACTTAGTTCCATTCAATGCAAATCAACATATATATTTAGATAAAGATACTTACAAAGCATGGTATAAGCCTAGAACTACGCGGACATAACAAGAATAATAGCTACGTACGGACTCTCCTCACGTCGTGGATACGAAGACCCCACAATTAATCATATATTAATTAAGTTCATCTATAGGGAAATTTCCCTCTTACAAGGTTAGAAAAGAGACTTACTTTCTTCAAAGCCTACTTCCAAACTCAAAATGCGCTAAAACTCTCAAATCGGAGCTGAAGAATCCAAAACTCCAAAAGCTAGATAAAAATCCCTCTCAAGAAGCTCCAAAAATCGCCCAACAATGGAGTGAAAAATGAGTCAAAATGCCTAAGTCCCGTATTAAATGAAGTGCACTAGCTCCAGCTTTTCCCCACCTGCGGCCACTGGGCCGCATCTGCGCCCCGTTTTTGCGGACAAGGGTGCGCTTCTGCGGAAATGGGCTAGATATGTTGGGGCTGCACCTGCGAACGGGTTCTCACTTCTGCGGAAAAAGATCTGCATCTGCGGAACCTGGGGTCCTCTCCTTGGGCCGTATCTGCGAGGCGATGTCTGCTTCTACGGTCTCGCACCTGTGGCTGGTCCGGGCCTCATCCGATTGACACTCGGGGCCCCCGGGGCCCTGCTGGAACATACCAACAAGTTTGGAATCATAAAATGGACTCGCTTGAACCCTTGGAACGCCCAAAGAACATTAAAACTAAGAATCACACCCTAAAACCAATTGAATCAAACTTATGAACTTCAAGTTTTTCAATTTACTTCCAATGTGCCGAAACGTACTTATACTACTCAGAATGACACCAAATTTTGCGTGCAAGTCTTAAATGATATTACAGAGCTATTCCCTATCTTGGAATCTCGTTTGGACCTCGATATCATCAAAACCCGCTCTATTAGTTTGTATGGGTCCACCTAATCATAGAGTACCTGGTCCTCTACAAGGTTCTATGAGAGCACTTAATAAAACCATATGTAAATGAAGCAGAGGATTTTTACGTGGAAAAAAATCACACAAGGGGATCAAAAAGCCACGACCTACACCTGTATGCTTTTAACTTCACTAACTTGTAATCTACCTATTACAAGCCACTTTACAATAATTCCTATTGCAAAAGATTTACTCAACTAACTTGTGGTACCTTTACCACAAGAAACTTTGTGACTATCCTAGTTACAAAGGCTTTTTCTAACTTGTGATGCTATCACCATAAGCCACTTTGTAACTCTATGATTACAAAGACTTTTCCTTATGACTAAAACTAGTCACAACATAAACTCAAGGAGTTCACGGATTTACATGAGGATTTCTAATCAAAATACTTCTAGGTAAGCAGTTTAGAAGATACAGTATATATAATAACAAGGTTACAACTCAACTAGGACAACAATAGTCTATCTTTTAGGAATTGGTCCGTAGTAGTGTTCAACCCTATTCTTTAAGTTTGTGAGGATTGGTTTCTCTATTTTTCCAAGAGGCTTGAATGAGAAACAGAACCCTTCCAGTGATGTTTTTGTATAAAGCTCATTTGGTACATCTTGATCACATCACTTGAAATGATGTGAGTGCTTCGTTTGGTTAGAGAATGAGTGGGTGGATAGTGTAGTGCAGTGCGGCAGAAACAGTGCTTTCAGTCACTTTATTTCCAGCTATGTCCAATTGACTTTGTATTGCTATGAGGAAACGACAAGAGCATCAGGTACTTGTGTAGGTTCCTAGCTCCTGAAGCTGTAGCAATTCACCTTTAGCTGGAATCCGTTAAAGCTTGCATCACTCCAAGTAGGTCAGGTTCCCTATCTGGTTCTTGACAGGAAGTTTGTTAGATCATCAAAACATAGGGCAAGATTATTTAAAGTTTATCAATTTCCCCCTTTTTGATAATGACAAACTTAACATTTATAAATAGGAATTTGGGCAGTAAAAAGTTTCAAAGTCCCGGGGAACACAGAGTTCCCCCTAAGACTATGCGTTATCTTACATGGTCAGAGTAATAGAGCGTTCCCCATAAGAACCAGTTCTCCCATGTGTTCCCCCTGAGTCCTTAGTTTCCCCCTTTTGGCATCATTAAAAAGAACAGCAGCACAAAGAAGTCCAGCTAAGCTAACTCATATCACATATGTGCACACAACTATGATAGAGAATAGAACACATAAAGAGAGTGCTGACATAGTAAAAAGAGAATTATTATTAATAAAGATTTAATACGCCTCTTCCTTTTTGAAAAGGGAAGAGGCAACATTGGACTTGTTAACATGAGTAGTAGTATTTCATCCCAACCATCAAAAAAAGAAAACAAAAAAAACATCCGCCAAACCATCAATAAAGAAACAAAACATAAGAAACATATCCAGAAAACTGGTCACTGAAGGGTACTTAGGGGACACTAGGAGGAAAAGTCTTGGTAGTTGCAGCAAGTGTATGGAGAATGAGGTATATTCGGAAGTTTCCCGACTTTTGCTCATTGAGCAGTTTAGCCTTCAGGTTCTCAACTTGCACCCTGAGATCAGCATTTTCCTGTTTCAAACGAACCACTTCTTCATTCGACAAGGAACCCCTTGGGCTTGCTGACCTTCCAGGGTAGCATTCTTGGCCTTCAACCGATGAATTTCCTCAGCAGCACTATTCTGGCCATTGATAAGCTGAGAAACAGTTGATGTACTTCCTACCCCCCATACTTTTCCATACATTTGCACTCTTCTAAGGTTATCTATGAGAATGTCTGCTTTTGAGTCTCCACTTTACCTATTCCCAGTGGAACCTTAAAGAATTTAAACACTAGAGTAAGCAAGAATCCATAGGAAGACCATGATTACCATCCTTGAAAGTGGCAACCTTCTGCATGTCTTCAATCATTATGGCAGACAGACTCACAGGATTGAAACCGTCTAGTTGCTCCATTAGGAATAGGTCAGACTTGGAAGTCACAGACCTCCCTTCTGCTCGAGGAAACAAGATTTTGTTAAACAACTCAAACAACAGCTGGTAGACAGGGAGTAGCGCTTTCTTATGGATTTGGTCCCCTTTCTAATTAGCATTGTCTTTCGCCACTGCATTTCTGAAGTTATACTGACAAACATCTTGTACACTCGACACCTCAACTGTAGGAACTTTCAAAATCTCTCCAAGTAATGTCATATCAAATAAAATGTCTACCCCATTGACCAAAGCACAGACATGGTCAGTATCAACTAGAAAGAGACTAGCGAAGAAACTTTGTACCTCCTCCTCACACACTTTAGGTGCATCAATGTGAAATAGATGCACCTTTTATTGAAACTCGACCATTTCCAGAATTTGGCACATTCTGGCCATCTCAGAGATTGCTGGGTCAAATGTACGACCCAACAGGACTTTTTGATGCCTCAGACGCTTAGAGCCAAGGCTGACTTCACTTCTCATTTTCTTCACAGAACTAGGTTCTTCAACAGATTCAGACTTGCGTTTCCCAAACTTCTCTCCACTGACTTTGCCTTTTCCCTTCGACTTGACTAGTACATCCTCATCAAACATGGAAAACTCACTCACTACCTCCTTCATCTTAGACTTAGATATTGACCCTTTCTCTATTGAAACAGGCTTTGCCTTTTTCAAGGACCGCCGAACAAGGGAACCAGGTTCCTCAGAAATTCCCTCTTCCACATCAACTACAGGGATAGCCTCATCACCTATAGGTACACCAACTTTCTCCTTTTCTTATTACTACTCTTCTTGCTCTTTTGGAGAGCAGAGTTGTAGGCTACTTTGACTTGAAGCCTGGTAGTAGGTCATTTGATTTCAGACTTAGTGGTCGAGACAACCCTTTTCTTACTTATGAATGCATCAAGGGACACGTTGTCAAGGTCTTCTTTATCACTAGATCGCATTTCAGGTGCTTGAATTTCTAGGGGCAAAACATCGAATGTAGGAACAACGCTGTCCTGGGGATGAGAACCCTAATCTGGGTCCTCCAGAGAAGGATCAGGTTCCTCATGTGATGCCCCAGTAGTATCTGCTACTGCATCCCCTTCAACAGCCATAATGGCACCTTCTTCCTTCACACCGTGTGACTCATTTTTTTGGAAAGTAATTTCATGCAATATCCCATCAGCGGATACTAGAAACACAGTTACAACACTCTTCTCTTCCTCAACTGGTGCTTTAACAACCATGGAATCGGTGGCAGCGATGGTATAACCCTTTGTGAACTCAGTATTTTGACCTTTTTCTCCACTTAGGATTTTACAGGTAGGAACAACAGATGATGGGGAGAACGGAGCAGTAGTTTCAAGGGTTTCTGAGTTGGGAATAGATTAGGAAACTTGGAAAGGTGTGACTGCAGCAGCAAGAGTGATAGAGGGTGATGAAGGCTCAGTGAAAATGAGAGGTTCCATAGATGGGTGAGTGGTAGTTACGGCTGAGGCAGAGAGATCGAAAGTTTTCTCAGCCATTGAAAGGAGTGGTGTGACAATCCTTCCTTTGTTGGGTGATTCTAGAGTAGGACTTATGGTTAAGAAGAGCAGAAGAGAGGGTTTTTTAAAAGGAAAGGATAATTATGAAGGGAGAGTTGAATAGGCACTGGTTCTGAAACGGCGGTTGGGCATGGAGAATTGCAATGTTTTAGAGGGAGATGGAACGTTTTGAATTGAAGGGACATGACAGCAGGATCTGAAAAGTTGATGACATGGTAGTTATATTTTGTACCCTTTTTAAGACGTGTATTAAAAGGATGCACAAAACTACTAACCTTTAGTACAAGAACCCGGTTCTTGAGTTTTCTTTTGTTTTCTCCCTTTTTTTGTTTTGAAAAGAATCAATCCTCTTTTATCATTCATGCACTGCATCTATCGCCTCTATGCTCATCATGCATGTTTACCCGCAATGGTATTGAAGTGAGTTAGGCATGACCAGAAAATACTTTGAGCTAGTTAGGGGTAAGAGCCAACCAAAGAGGAATTAGGTTCTTAATTTGGCTTCAACATTCCCAGCTTTACTCTGTTTCTTTCAAACTATTCCCTACTTAGTGCCTTGGTGAAAATGTCTGCAATTTGATCTTCTGTGTTGCAGAACTTCATACATATCAACCTTTTCTCCACATTGTCTATCAGAAAATGATGCCTCACATCAATATGTTTTGTCCTTTTATGTTAAATTGGATGCATGACCATGTTGAGTGCACTGATGTTGTCAAATAGAAGGGGCACACTCTTAGTGAGTACCCCAAAGCCCTCCAGTTGCTGCTGTTGATATCCAATTTTTTCCTATATATTTTTTAATATGCAAATACCTTCAAAATAGCATATCTACGCATATATAAGTATGTCCAAATGTTTTATTATTTTTTCCTTAATTTTAAAGTTTTTTAAATCAATTTATTTCCCTATTTTATCCATAAAAACCCAATAATTATTTCCAAAATTTTATTTTTGGTAATTAATTTATTGGACTTTCACATTTACATTAAAATATAGCCAAGATAATTTTTGCATATTTTTATAAATGTATTTAGTATTTTTAAAGGCTAAATTGCATAATTGCAATATTAGCCTCTTTTAGGATTTAATTGCGTTTATATTCATGAAAATGAAGTACCGTATTTTTAAATTAATAATTATATTTCATAAATAATTTTAGTACCTTTAATTTATTTCCAGAAAATAATTTACTATTCTTTTTATTTTAAATACGAAAAAATAACTATTTAAATGATAGCCCAATTTCATTTCAATTATAGCCTGAAATTGAGCCCAAATCAAGACCCAATTCCCCAACAAAATTGCAACTCAAACCCGACCCCCTAATCCAATTCACACGACCCAACCCGGATCCCCACCTAACCCCTTTTATCCCAGACGTTGATCATTTAGATCAACGGCCACCGGCTGCCTTTTCCTGATTAAACCCAAAAGACCCCCAAACCTAATTCATTTCTTACCTACCGCCGCCCTTAAATCCTTCTTCTCTCTCAACTCTCTCTGAAACTCCTACAAACCCTAGCCGCCGCCATCAAACCAAACCCTACCTAATCCATGGCCTTCCGTGGTCATTTGAGACCTGTACCAGCCTTACATGGCTCATATGTGTTTGGTTCTATGGTTTCACGACCAGACTCCAAAGGAGTTTGGTCCAGTCCTTGCTCGACTGGTGTTCATGGCCTTTCTCCGACCATCCACGACCTTTCCTGGCCATTCATGGCCTTTCAAGGTGGGTCCTTGGCATTTTTTGGTTAGGTCATTAACTTTCGAGATCTTTCTTGTTTTCTTTTGGATTTTCTGAAACCTTAATCTCTAAGATCTTTCGATTTCTTTCAGATCTACCTTAGAACTGTGCTTACCATGAACTTTTAAGCATTTTTCTCGAAGGTTCTTCAACGTTGTTTTCAAAACGACTCTTCATTGTTCTGATTAGGGTTTTCCTTTAAGTTATTTCAAAAATCTTTGCTCTGATTCTCGATGTTGTTTTATGACTTTACTATGTTCGAATTGTTTGTTATGCTTTCCGTCTACTTGAGTCAGTATGTTGAAAACCCTAATTTCTTTTGGGTCTCATTCGAATCCTAAAGCTGTTTTTTTAAATGTATACTTGTTTAATTAAGTTCCTCGTTCTTGTTTGATTTATTTGTGTCACCATTTTAAAACTCGATTGTTGTTGAAAAGCCCTAGGACTTTGGGGATGAAATTATTTGTTTGAGTACTTGACTCGGCTGAAAGTTTTTGTTTTAGACTTTCTTTTCTTTATGTGATTCATCTGCTTCTGAGTTTTACTATCTTTCTAACTCAACTTTTTTCAAAAACCCTAACTTTTCAAAAGGTTTCCTCACCTACTATTGTGAGACATTTGCATGTTTCTAATACTCTGTTTTCTTCACTGTTGAATTCAATGTGACTTGACGTACTTGATTACAATGCTTTGAATATTTGCTTTACTACTGAACCCTACCTTATTTCTGCCACTACTGCATGCTTGTGATTATCTCTTTTGCCAACGTGCTTGGCCTCGCATGTTTGATGACCCTGTTCACTTTACTTATATACTGAAGTACAGAAGCATGTTTCTTCTTTGATTGATCTCAATCGTGTGACTAATTTCAAAAACTTTTCTTTTGTGAACTCTAATTTCACTCGCATGTTAATGTTAACTGATTCCTTTCCTTATTTGCCTTACTGAATCTTTTCCCAAAATAAGCATATTTCTATGCTTAGACTTGATTACTTACTCAATGCTTTTACTATTCCTTTTATGGCAATAATCAGTTTGTCTCTAAATTGATCTTTTTTCCTTATTTTGAATCTGTCCTTACCTGTTAAATAGTGACTCCTTAATTAAAGGGAGTCCCTTGTGTAATTGATTCTAACTGTTGATTGTTTCTATATTTGTATTAAAACTTTACTTGTTACCTTACTTCTCACTCGTTTTCAGAAGCTATAAATACCCTGCACTTTCTCTTAAACACACTTCACTCAAAGCTCTCTCTCTTTTCTCTGTTACTACTTGTGTTGCTGCCTTGTCTAGCCGGCCGAAAGCCAAGGCTAGGCTGTGGAAATTTGCTTACTTTTCTTTCTACATTTGCCTCTTTACTGGTATGTTCTAATTAATCTTCCAGCATCAATAATAACATGTTTCTTTACTATTTCCTTCATTCTTGTCTGTTTCCTGCTTGCGTTTAATCCAGTTACATTACCAAGCATGATGTAATCTGCCCCTTCCTCTTCTAAATTAATGTATTTTTCCTATGTATGAACTCTGTCAGTCACTTATTATGACTTATGAATCCCAAACCCCCATATCCCTTATGTGTTTGTGTTCTTTAGTTGGTTTGAGGGCATGTCAGCATTAGACATTGATGTGCATGACCCAAACCTGACCCTCCCTAGGGTCATATGCTTTATATCCCCTCTATGTGTTGTGTTCTCCGGCTGGTTTATGGGCATGCTAGCACTAGCTATTGTTGTGCATGTCCAAACCTGACCCCTCTTAGGGTCATATGCTCCCTACAATGTATTCCCAAACACTTGACCCCTTTGTTTAAAAAAATGCCGATTCTGTGTAGAGTTAGCTTTACTATTACCGTTTTCAAATTAACCTTTGCCTTACTATTCTCAACCTAGTTTTCAAACAAAATCTTTGCTCCTGCACTTCCACTATACTCTTAGACTTAGGTTCTGCCCCTCTTGTGTGAGCCTTGCCTTGGGACCCCTAAGCTCCCTCTGAACTTGGACACATAAGAGCTGGCCCTTCCACACTGCACTCATCTCTATCTAGTTATGCAAACTTGGGTGTAAACACTGCCCAGGGTCACTTGATACCCTTAGGGAACTTTGACACACTCAAGTTTGAGAAAGGCTTTGGAACAAATGGCATTTGTGATGGTTTATTCCACAACTCGGAGAGGAAGTCAAGAATCAGGCTTCCTCTAGTTAGAACTTCTTCTTTTACACTTTTCTGGTGCAATTCATTATTCAGTTTGTAATAATTTGTAATAAACATTGGGGTTGGCTAGTGAAAAGGGCTGGGTAATTATGCATGCTTAAGGGTAGATATCATACTTATAAGATCTATTATTTTAAATTCTGCATGTTTAACTCTACATTTAGATGTCATGCCTATAAGGTATGTTGTTCTGCATGTTTAACTCTGCATTTAGATATCATGCTTATAAGATCTATTTTCTTTAAAATTCTACATGTCTAACTCTACATTTAGATAATATGCCTGTAGGGTTTGTCTTCAATTTTGCATGTTTATTACCACACTTAGACACCATGCTCTTAGGATCTAAGTGGTTACAATCTGACATCATTAAAATCAGTACCTTTATAGAAATCATGCCTATAGGATTCAAGTAATTACTGCCTGCTTCATTTCACGTTCGACTAGATATCATATCTATAAGAATTAAAATTAGCAATAATAGATATCAACATCTATAAAATCTGAAACCAGTCTAGTTTAAAATCAGCCTAACTCGTACTGTTCTGAATTAGTTTTAAACAGCCTTACTCCTTTATTCAATGCAGTTTAGAAAGCATGTCTATAGGATCTCAAATTGTTTGTTGTAGAACTGTTACTGCCTTACTACATTCTGAATCAGCGATAGATATCATGTTTATAGGATCTCACCCAAACACTTAGGCGAGCCTTAGGTGATAAAGACAATAAAAACTGAATCCGCCTTTGTTAATCAGTAACTGCTACAACCAACAGGCAGGCCTGATTCGGACTTCTTATCTGAGTTATATAATAAACTGGCCTGCCTCAACAATTAAAATTCTCCTTTCCTTAGCACTTTAAATTCAG